CGCAGGCGCTGCATAGCACACTTGGTCAGATTGCCCCTGTAGGTGACGTAGGCTGCTGTAGGCGATCTGTCCACCCTCGATGGCCACCACGATGGAAGGTCCATGCCACTGGCGTAGGAGCACCTCCTTCCGCTTCGTGCCACGTGTGGTCACCGGCTTCTGCTCTCGGTAGAAGTAGACAATGTCCCCAGTTTGGAACTTGTCCCAGCCTGTCGCCCTTCTCGCACGGGCAAATTCTGCTTTCCTCAGCGACTGCGAGTACTTCATCCTCACCAATGCCACACGAGCAGCTTCCTTCATAGCTGCCACTCGAGCCATAGTCGGCACATGGAGCGCTGCGCCAAGCGAAGCTTCATGTCATTCGGGATGACTTCCTCAGCGGTCCTAGGCTATTTGCCCAAGACGAACTGGGCAGGGCTGTAGCCAGCGTCACCAATGTCTTGGTTCACCGCCGAGACTGCATGAGCTAGCGCAGCTGTCATGTCATCTTTTCCAATCAATGAGAACTGTCGGGTCAAAGTTCCCATCATCACCTTGAGAGAACCTCCAGCTCTCTCGGCTAAGCCGTTGGCCCAAGGCGATTCCACTGGTATGTGGTAGAGCAAGATGTCTGGAAATCCATGCAGCTTTGCATCTTGTCAGACGTAAATTCTTGGCCGCGATCAGAGACCACAACTTTTGGCGTCCCCAAAGTTGGGATCCACATGCCGTTGAAGAAGCGGACAACTTCATCAGCTGATTTGGCCTCCATCAGGGACGCGACCTGATAGCCTGAAGCTGCATCAATGCCGTGCATCACCCAAAAGGTGTTGTCCAGAGCGTCCTTGATCGCCACCAAGTCCACATGCATCTGGTCGCCAAATTGGCGAGGCTTGGGTAGTGCTGCTGGCATGTGTGCTGCCGGCTTTCTCACCTCAGCACATGCATCACACTTCAGCTCCTTCGCCGCCTTCACAGTCTCCGGCGACGCTCCAGCGATCAACAGAACCTTGGCAAGCCTCAGAGGGCTCCGATGACCAGTGTTGACGCGCAAGCGCATCACTGCTTGTCTATGGGCTGAAGTGATTTCCCTTGCATCGCTCACATCCACATCATCAATCAAGTCACAGTCTTCTTCAAAGACGTTGGGCTTGATCTCGGCCACCTCTTCATTCTCATCGATGGTGTCCATGGCATTGATCTCGAAGACCTGGTCGAACAACTGGTCGCCGTCAGCCACGAACTGCTCCTCAAGGGCCTTCACAATCTCCCTGGCGAAACGAGGAGGAAGTGTCCAGCTGGTTCTGTGACACCTGAACCACCGATGACTGGCTCATGTTCGTGAGTTCCATCACACATGAAGTTGCACATCCTCTGAGCCACAATCTCCAGTGAAGTGAGTAGCCAAGTTCTTTTCCGATGAAGCCCACCTCGCGGACCACGAAGACCCAGCATGCACTGGTCCACTTGACACAGAAATGTCCTGGGGTCCTGTGCCAGTGATTGCAACTCTTCACATTCCTGCCAGGCTGCTGATCTGCTAGGGTTTTCAATCAGAAAATGCCTGCCGGCACCGCAAAGCGCACCAAACGCCGGTGTCGCCACCTCCTCCATCTGAGCAGCGTGTTCATCCTCCTTTCGAAGATTCTGCAGTGGCGACCAGGGCCCGCAAGGAAAGGCCAAGATCTCGCAGTAGGGTTTTTCACCGTCGATTTCTTCCAAGGCAGCTTTCTGGGCTCGGCTTAGGAAGAAGTCATACCCCGTGGACAAACTCAGACTCTTCATTGCGTGGTGTCCGCGAAGTTCAGCTTGTCGTTTCACCGGCTCTGCGTCAGTGAAGGTCTCACCCACCAAGGGTTGCGCCCTCACTTCCTGGACCAAAGGCTCTTCAGGAATTGCCAGCTCGCCGATGAAAACTTCTCTGTCCCTGGAGGCGATCTCGATGTTCTCTTCAAGGTGGAGGGCCAGGGTCTCCAAGACCTCAGCAACTTCACACTCCGAGATGTCCAAAGCGGAGGCCATCCTCCGTAGTTTCCGGAAGCCCTGATTGATGGTCAAACGCAATCCAGGCTTCAATTTCTTGAATTGTGATGCTTTCACTTTCCCAATGCTCTTCCTCGTCATAGAGCTCTGAGGGCCTGGAAGATCACTGCCCCACATCCAGCTCATGGGAAGAACTCGTCCTCGGCCTCCATGGAATAGCATAGGCGACTCGCTCCGCTCGTCTCGCTCAACTGACCCCACTCGGAGCCTTCCGCTTTTCGACTTCCGCTCGAAGTTGAGCGACGCCGTCCTCATCGAGACCATAGGGGGGCTCCTCCTCCTTGTCCAGGGCGTGGTACTGCGGAAGCTGCTGCAGAGGAAGGCGACCTTGAGTCCGGTACCCGGAAGTTCCGGAATTCCCTGCTGAAGCCTGCGCCAGGCCTTTGATAGCCGGAACCGAATTCTGCGCCGTCTGTCGTTCCGTTTGACTCTGTGGGACTAGTCTGGACAACCAAGACTTCTTGGATATCTCCGTCTCCTTCACTGGAGCGCTCGGCTAGGGAGTGGAAGAGGTAGGCCCCTCAGGAAGGGCCGCTGGACTATATCCACAAGAGGAGACACATGCTCTTGTGGTGAAGTCTGGTCACAATCCGGTTCCATCGCAAAGCGGCTCGCTGCAATGGCTTCAACAAGCCCGCCGACAGGGTAAGGGCAGAGTCCATCACTGTCAGCTTGAAGGCGAGGTGCCAAAAGCTCCGGCACGAAGTGTTCAGTCACCTGTGTCTCATGGCCTGAACTGTCACCTGTCCAGGCTCGTTTCAACTTCTTCAACATCCACTGCATGCGAGTCTCAGACTGGACCTCACAGACCTTGCCTTTGCCTGTAGCTATCCAAGGCTTCTCAGTCAAAGGAGGCCACTGACTCAAAGACGAATGGCCAGCGTTCATGCGAGAAAGACGAACCCTGTTGGACAGAAAATCATGCAAAGCTCCAAGGGCGTCCACAAGGGCGTCCAAAGCATCCTTGCCCGCCAAACATCCAAGTGAGGGACATGGAACATTTGAAACCCACAGCAAAACCACTCGACCAGCGATGAGGAAAGGAAGTCGAATCCGTTCACTGCTTCGAAGAACTCCCCCATTCCCGAACCTCAATCGTTCACTCTCAGGCTCCTTCTTGACCAAAGATGTAGGGGGGAGCATGTAGTAATGCATCTTCAGCATGTTGAACGCACAAGGAGCCTGCGCATGAACGATTGCAGGCTGAATCCAGCGCAGCCAAGTACAGTTTGTCCGATGACAAAAGCTCGGGTGAGTTCTTGACGGACAGGACTTCTGCCAATCCAGTCACCACTACATTGCATTCATGGACTGGCTCTTGGTCGTCCACACTGAAAAGGACATGAGGCTCGGCCAAAAAGTCCACGATGTTGGCTTCTGAAATCTGGGTCTCACTCGCTTGCTTGCTACTGCCCTTCCTCAAGGCAGATTGCAGCTTGCCTGAACTGGTGCACCAGGACATTCAGGATCTCCCTTCCAGTGGCCGCGTTGATTGCAAACAAAGCAAACACCAGTCTTGTTCTTGCCAGCGCCCTTGCTCTTGCCACTGGGAGCTCCGGTTTGCGGTCCTCGAAAACCACGGTCCTTTCTCATTGCCTCAAGGTGACCAGTGCTTCCACTGCTCCGTCCAATTGCTCAGCGTGGTGGCATGGCGGGTTTTTTCTGAGCTGCGCCGATACGCCGATACGCCGATATCGGGTCTGGGGGGATATCGGTGCGGCGCCGATACGCCGATATCCGGGCCTGGGGGGATATCGGTGCGGCGCCGATACGCCGATATCCGGGTCTGCGGGGTGCGGCGCCGATACGCCGATATCGGGTCTGGGGGGATATCGGCGCGGCGCCGATACGCCGATATCCGGGTCTGGGGGGATATCGGTGCGGCGACGATACGCCGATATCCGGGTCTGCGGGGATATCGGTGCGGCGCCGATACGTCGATATCCGGGTCTGGGGGATATCGGCGCGACGCCGATATCCTTGTCTGGGGGGATTTCGGCGCGGCGCCGATACGCCGACATCCTTGTCTGGGGGGAGTTCGGCGCGGCGCCGATACGCCGATATCCGGGTCTGCGGGATATCGGTGCGGCGCCGATACGCCGATATCCGGGTCTGGGGGGATACTTGGTTGCCGGCTTCTCCTTGTTGAAGTTATAACTTAGGTGATGGAAGTTACCGAAGTTGTGTTGAAGGCAACGAACGCGGTTTGGATTCCAACCTCATAACTTCTATAACTTCTATATAAGTTACTTTTAACTTACAATAAGTTTTCAGGTTTTTGCTTTTTTTGAATTTCAACTGTTTTGCGTTTTTGGTAAATTTACAAGAGCAATATTTGTATATGTATATTCGCAATAAAAATTGACAGAACGCTTGTTGTATGAGTGCGCGCGGCCCAGAAGCGCCGCATTTAAGCTCCAGATATAACTTTATCATCTTCATTCATAACAAAACTCTGCCCAATTTTGCGCCATGGAGTTTAGGGTTTATAAGGCTATACCGACGCAAGCTAAAGCTCACCCGAAATTTGTTGGAGACTGGTCGTTGGTGATGTTAATTGGTTGACAGCGGTATCTTTCAGTCCGGGGCCGAAAGATACATGTATCTTTATGTATCTTTTGAACCGGGTCTGAAAGATACATAAAGAGACATTTAGATACATTTTGAGTCCGGGGCCAAAAGATACATGTATCTTTATGTATCTTTTGAACCCGGTCTGAAAGATACATAGAGAGACATTTAGGTACATTTTGAGTCCGGGGCCAAAAGATACATGTATCTTTATGTATCTTTTGAACCCGGTCTGAAAGATATATAAAGATACAAAAAACATTTAGATACATCTTCATTAATAACTAAACGCTGCCAATTTTTTGCCATGGAATTTAAGGTTTAGGCTTATATCGACGCAAGCTAAAGCTCGGCCGAAATTTTTTTGGAACACCAGTTAGCTCCAGATATCTTGCAACCTAATGCTCACCTGAAAAAGATTGAGCACCAATTAGGTTCAGAAATCTTGCATCCTAAAGCTCACCCAAAAAATGTTGAGCACCAATATGGTCCAGAAATCGTGCAACCTAAGGCTCGCCCGCAAAATGTTGAGTACCAACTAAATTCAACAATTGTAAAGCTTAAAGCTCACCCGCAAATTTTTGAGCACCAGTTTGGTTCAGAAATCTTGCAACCTAAAGCTCACCCGAGAAAAAGTTTGATTACCAGCTAGGTTCAGGAATCTTCCATCCTAAAGCTTGCCCAGTTTCTTTAGTTGGGCCAAGAAACCTTGCAACCTAACGCTCACCCGAAAAAATAAGCCCCCGTTAGGTCCAGAAATCTTGCAACCTACAGCTCACCCGCAAAACTTTGAGCACCAGTTGGGTTCAAAAATCTTGCAACCTAAAGTTCACCCAAAAAAATGAGCACCAGCTAGGTCCAGAAATCTTGCAACCTAAAGCTCACCCGCAAAATTTTGAGCACCAGTTAGGTCCAGAA